GGTCTCCATGGTGGTTCTGCTGCCTTGGCTCTACTAGACATTTCCCCAGTGGGAACTCTCTGTGGGGGCTCTGACCCCACTTTCCTGTTTGACATTGCTCTACTAGATGGTCTCTGCAGTGGCTTCAACCCTGCGGCAGGTCTCTACCTGGGCCCCCAGGTTTTTCCATACATCCTCTGGAATCTGGGTGGAAGCTGCCACTCCTCCACTGCTCTCATGTCCTGCCATCCTGCAGACTTAACACAATGTGGACACCACCGGGGTTTCAGCTTCTACTCTCCAGAGCTGCTGCAAGAACCACACTTGGGGCTGTTCCAGCCAGAGCAGGTGGAATGCAAGGAGCAGGTTCTCAAGGGCAGCTGCACCTCAGGTCTGTCCTCCAGTACAACTCAGTCCTTCTAGGCATCAGGGCCTATGATGGGTGGGGCACCCTTCCAGACTTCTCAAATGCCTTTAGGGCTTTTTTCCTATTGTCCTGGCTCTTAGCATCTGGCTGCCTCACTGCCAAGATAATGTCTTTAGCAACCAGTCTATCTGCTGCACCCCTGCATTTTTCTCCTGCTCTCTGCTTCTCTACTGCATGGACAGGCTGCAAACTTTCCAAATCTTTACACTCTGCTTCCCTTTTAAATTCCAGCTTTACATTATGCCTTTGCTGCCATAACTCAGAGTAGGCTGTTAAAAGTAACCATGCAGCTTCCTTAATGCTTTGCTGCTTAGAAATTTCTTCCACCAAGCATTCTGGTTATCAACTCTTAAGTCCTACCTTCCACAAAGTCCGAGGGCATGGACACAATGCAGCCAAGTTCCTTGCTATGGTGTAGCAAGGGTGATCTTTTGTTCAATTCCTGAGAAGTTCCTCATTTCTATCTGAGACCTCATCATCTGCATAGCCTTTATTGTCCACATTTCTATCAGCATTCTGGTCACAACCATTTAACTAATCTCTAAAATGTTCCAAACATTCTCTCATCTTTTTGTCTTCTAAGTCCTCCAAACTCCTCCAGCCTTTGCCTATTACCCAGTTCCAAAGCTGCATCCATATTTTCAGGTATCTGTATAGCAACACCCCACTCCTCAGTACCAATTTTCGGTATTAGTCCATTTTGTGTTGCTATAACAGAATACCTGAAACTGGGTAATTTATAAAGAACAGAGGTTTATTTGGCTTACAATTCTGGGACAGGTACATCTGGCATGGGCCTCAGGCTGCTTCTACTCATGGCAGAAAGCAGCAGGCAGCCAGTGGGTACAAGCAGATCACATGGCGAGAGGAAGCAAGAGAGAGAGAGAGAGATGCCAGGTCTTTTAAACAACCAGCTCTCACGGGAACTAATAGAGCGAGAACTCACTCGTTAATCCTCCCTCCCCCAGGGAGAGCATTAATCCATTCATCCATCCCCATGACTCAATCAGTTTCCAACACTGCCACATTGGGGATCAGATATGCACATGAGTTTTGGAGGGGACAACACATCCAAACTCCATCAAATGACTACATAGCACTGAAACAAAGCAAAGGTTTAACACTGATGCTATCTCGGTATGCAGCTTTTATCTGGTGCTACAAATATAGCAAATTTTAACTAACAAAAGCAAACTTACAGTAAATATTTGTGACATATCATTATTCTGGGAACAGGATGTCCCAACCAACTTACAAGCCCAAGGTCTCAAGGCAAATATATCAATTTATATTCTTGCCTGCTTACTTTGGTCAGATGTTGGCCAGCGAGATGGCTTCTCAGCTCCATTTTGAAAGCCTTAATTGAACCAACACAATTTTCCATCATCACTTGACCTATGTGAAAAACAGCTGATTCAATGTGATGCAGTGTGAGGACAGTGGGTGAAGAGGCACCTGGCCCAGGTGAAGAGTGTCTCACACCCATCCCATGGTATGGTCACTGCCTAGTTCTTACTTGGAACACAGCATCGAGGAGTGGTGTCCTCCAACCAAGGAAAGAGTTGGCCAAAAAAAGAGCTCAGTTTTGAACACACTGAGTTTGAAGAATTTGCGAGCCAACAAGAGAGAGATGTTCTAGAGGCAAGGGCAAGGCCTGAGCTGGGGTGTTGGGAGTCATAAACATATAGATGGAAGTGAATTAGGTCATCCAAAGATGTGCAGAGTGAAGAGAGGGCCTCTGAGAGAACCTGGAGGACACCAATATTTCAGAGTGTCCTAGCCCAATCAGCCAAAGACCACCAGGGAAAAACTCATAGTCTGATGTAGTCAGGTTTATTGACCCCTTGCAATGCGACAGACAACACATCAGAGGAACCATGGGGTGTCCCACAAAACACAAGGGAAAAGATATATAGGGTTTGAGAAAAGAGTGGAGATTAGGTGAAATTTATAAAAAAGGAATATTATGATAGGCTCAAAGCAAAGTAGAGAGCTGTGTATAAAGGGGCTGACATCCGGTCTGGACTGCTCAGTGGATCCAGGGTCCTGTTTCCATGGAAACAATAAAATTAATATAGATGTGGAATATTATGTTCAGAAACCCCTTCTCTGAATTTCTGCACCTGAGTTGTAAATCCTGTCCACCTAGTGATTTAGATTCCCTAGGCAAGAGTTTCATTCCTATTCACATAACTTCAAACAGCAAAGTTTCTGATAGTCTATGACTTTAGAAATCAAAGCTTGGGGCCGAGGGTTCGGATCCCACATTCAGACCGGTTCCGCTCACTGGCTGAGCAAGGTGCGGGTGCAACACTGAGGGTTGCGATCCGTTGCCGGACACGAAAAAAGACAAAAAGGAAAAAAATAAAATAAAAATAAGAAATCAAAGCTTGCTCAGTAAGAAAGAAGTGGTCACTCAAAGCAGGAAGTCATTATGACATTTTACAGCAGCAGTATATCCTTGGAAAAAATATTATTTTCTGTTAATTTTACAGCTGGCTTTCTGTGTCTGTTTTACCAGTCTGATGAATAGGATGGGTTTTTACAGTCCAAACTAATTTTTAGGTTTTCAAGGGACAAACGATGGAAGAGAAATCTGCAAAGACTGCTGTGAGTCTCACAAAGCAGGGTGGCAACTGTTGATGTTGATGATGCAAAGAGGTCTAGTTTACCGAGCTGCCCAGTACGGCAACCACTCCTCACAGGTAGCTATTCAAACTTAAATTAATTAAAAGTAATTAAATTAAAATTGATTTTAAAATAAATTCGTTTAACTAAAAATTTTGATTCCTCCATGGCATTTAGCCACAGGTCAAGTGTTCAGTAGCCACACACTACTGGCTATAATATTGAACAGTGCAAATATAAAACATGTCCATCAATGCAGAAAGTTTTATTGAACAGCAGTAAGACAAAAACTGACAGTCCCAGGCAGTGGTGACCCCTGTGAGTGGTTGCCAAGTTACGACGGGGGAGGAAGCCCTGTGCACACAGCTAATGAGTAGTAAAACACAGCCCCAACAACGCTACTCCTCTCCTACGACAGCTACTGTGTAACTCATGTGCACCTCGAATCCACCACGACCGCAGGGCCAGAGCACTCGCCTCCACTGCTTCATTGCGCTTCCCGGCTCGCACAAACCCACTGCCGTTCTCAAACTCAATCTCCCAGCATGCTGCGGGCCCCCCTGCGAGTCTGGCTCTTGGACTTCTGGGAAATGTAGTTTTTACAGCGTTCTAGGGCCAGAAAGGTCCAGGCCATGAACTACAGCTCCCCGGAGGCAGAGAGTGGGCCTTTCCGGTCGAATTCACCGTGGCTTCCATGTTTGCCCCGAAGGATGCCAGACTCTGAAGTTTAGAGGGGCGGTGACTGAGGTGCAGGAGTCCCGGGTAAGGAGGAGGACGGCGACCGCGGTGTGCCTCCTCCTGCCGCTCCTCATATGTCCCCCTCTCTGGGGCGGTAGATACACCTCAATCGAAGGGGAGCAGACAAGGACCCCAGGGAGCCATGGTGACAGAGCTATGACAACCACTAGGGGGCGTGCGGCGGTGCTGCCCTTAGTCTGACAGCGAATAGCCAGAGGGCCACAGGGCGGCCGCTGGGGGGAAGCGCACGCGCAAATGCGGGGCCTCGAGGCCTCTGTAAACACCGAAGCGCGCCTGCGCAAACGGAGCGTCTCGAGATTGACACTTCGGGGCGTCGTAGCAAAGATAACAGTAATGAATAGCAATGTACGGTCCGGTCGTTTTTTTGTTGTTGTTGTCCTTTCTTTTGTGGTTTGCAAAGCACGGCGCCCTTCGGTCTTCACAACAGTTCTTTTACAAATGTGACAACGGGTCAGGGAAAGTCATAGCCCGAGTCCCAGCTTCCTATATTGTAAAGGACCAGAAAGGATCAGGATTCAGGGACCCTAGCGCAGGATCTGCCTCTGACTTGCTGTGTGACTTTGGGTAATTCTGTTAACTTGGGAACGTAAGCTTTCTTTTTTTTTTTTTTTTTTTTTTTTTTTTTTTTTTTTTTTCC